GATTTGCCTAGACGGTCACTGTGTACGTGCACAGACACTGAACTCTCGTGAAGCGAAGAGTCTGTGCCAACAGCAACGGGATGTCGAAGCCACGTGTTGGTGTACACTTCGTTTCACCTTGTAATGTACTGCAGTGGATGTCGTCGGCAGCTGGAGCCAGTCCATAGCTCCAAGTGTGTCGTGTGCCTTCGCACACCTTTGATCGTTTCGTCCACCCTCAAGGGCACATGACACCCTTTGAACTGTGGATTGGCTCCGGTGGCTTGTAGCTTCCACTGCAGTTTGTTGTAAGGAGAGACGAAGTGTATCTGCGGTCGATTGCTTTGAAAAGTGTCTGCTCGGTGCAGTTCGTCTGCTCAAACACGAATTCACATTGTCACTTCTAACTGACCAGCGGAATTTCAGATCAGGGTTAAAATCATACTGCATGATAGTTTCCAATTTAAAAACGTGAAAATGCCTCGAAACTTTTTCAACAATATTACGAGCCACATTCAACCCTCTTGTTTTTGGAACACATGTAGCCAAGGCCACTGGAGCAGCATTGTTGCTTTGGGCAACAGTTGGCCATGAGCATCATTATCTGTCTCAGCTTGTCCGAAGAAGCGAAACAAGGATAAATTGATCCAGGGGGTGGCAATACAGTTGTAATACATTGCATTGCTATCCTGCATCACTCGTACGCGTGACGACAAGTACGCTTGTAACAAGGCTCGGGGTCGGTTGAGAAGTGCTGAAGGAACACCAATATTGCTGTGAGTACGGTGGTCTCGAGCACCTTGAGGGGAATCTACGCCTCTGTTTGACCAACACGTGGCGATTCATGTGAGGTTTCTTGTATTATTCAGGCACAGATAGGAGACATATATCTAGGGAAGAGCGGTCATCTTACCCAGCTAGTGGATGGGGTCACCCTTTTAAATTCTTTTGCAACTTGCCTCCAAATTTAACTGTAAAAAAAAAAAGCCTTTTCATTCCTTTTTTTTTTTTTTACATTGTTTAATAAACTTGCTGCTAAATGCTTTCCCCCACCACCACGTTAAAGTCATAGCTACGGATTACAAGCTTATTTTTTAAATGAAATTTTAGATAAGGCAAGTTAATTTTATAATTTTTTTTTTTTTCCCTAGCATCAGTATGCACAATTGCACACGCCTATACTCCATTCACCCCTAAGCTGGCGATGCGATGGAATACGTGCTCGCCAAACCAAGGAACGGCCTCCCTGAACGGCCTCCCTTTCATCACGTGACCCCGCTGTCCTCGCGTGGGTACTGAAAGATAAGCTTGGTCATGTGTTGAAGCATGCATAGCTTCCGCCGTGCTGTCGACTTAAGAGTGAAGGGAGTAAAGCTCATTGTTTGCATGCTTGTGCTGCTCTGAAACTGCAAGTTAGCACCCATAGTTTTATGTACCATATACACAGGGTGCTTGAACATAATTCTAACAGATATTTTAAAAAGGGGCAATGGTTGGACGAGTGCCATTTTCATTACGTATTCATCAGGCTCGGCAGACATTGGATGAGGGGATAATCATCATGGTAAGTATGTTAACTAAAGTCTGTTAATTACCTCTTTAATTATTGGTTTTAGAGGTCCAATTACAATGGCAGTGTTGATGGCAATAACTATAAGAGCCCAGCCCAATTAAAGGAATTTGCAAAAATGTAGTTTGTGAGATATTGAGATGTTTTCACTTTTTTTTATCCCAATCTTAGAATGGTGCGCAAAAAGCACATAGCAAGGCCCTGCCCACAGTCGTGCTTGGAGGAGTGATGTAATCGTTTCATTCGTGCCTTTACCGTCTCGGCAGCATGTCCCTGGTGGGTACGCAGACGACGCAAGGGATGATGTGACCAAAACGACTACGTTACTCGAAGCGTCGTCGTGAGCAGGGCTTGCGGTATATTTTTTGTGGACTATTCTTAAGCCTGCCTGGAAAACAGGAAAATGATCAATTAAGATCTCAAAAGCCATTACGACTTTCAAAATTTTTTAAAATTGGTCCGGCCTTTAATTGTAATTGCCGTCAATACTGCAATGGCAACACGACCCCTCAAAGCATTAAGTACACAAGTTACATTTTAATTCATTAATCTACTTATCATGACAATTATCCTCTTGTCGAATGTCCGCGAGCCTGATAAATACATGGTGAACTTTCACCTCCTTTTTCTTAAAATCTGTTTTCAATTAAAATCGAACACCCTGTATAAATAAGGCGTTTCACGAAATGCAGGCCAAATCGTTTCTGCAAGAGGTATGCCTCCCACAGAAAAAAGGTTGATGTCATATTGGTTTCTGCCAAAGGGCCCATTTGGGAAAATATGTAACATTCGGTATAATCAGTTTCTTAATTACTTTTGAGTGATTAACTTTTCAATTAGTAAATTTGGGGTATGGTTTCAGTCTAAAAGTTGCTTGGGGGGCATCATCGAAAACCTCTGAATTATCTTGGTCTAGAAAGAAATTTGGCACATGCAGCATTTTAAAGCATTCTGAAAAACGCCCAACTTGGACGGTTCTCGGTTTCATATTGGAGTGCATTGTTGTGCCAACAATCCTGCCCTCTGAGACACGCTGCCACCACTCTGCCTCCCTTGCGAAAGGGAAGTAAACATGTTGAACATGCATTGCGTGCCCCGGCCGCAAAGGGCTGGACCGCTCGCTCAAAGATGCACTCCAATAGAATTAGGTGTTTCTTCGAAGGGTCGTAAAATGCCTGATGTCCCTTATACTTTTCTAAAATTTGTTGATTTAGTGGTTTCTCGTGATGTCCAGCCAATCTTTTTTTGAACAGTAAATACAGCGCCAAAAAACGACAGGACAAAGACGAGAGTAAACAGGACGAGGCGCAGGAGAGTAAACAGGAGCGCCTCGTCCTGTTTACTCTCGTCTTTGTCCTGTCGTTTTTTGGCGCTGTATTTACTGATCATGAACCAACTAGCCCGAATTTCTACTTTTTTTGAAGCCATACATTTAAATTTACTAACTGAAAATCGTGAGCCATTCCACTCTGTGGAGGTGGATGACCAGCAAAGCTGTTTAGCACACGACACAGACCCACCCCGAGGAGCTGGAGGAAACTAGACACGCGCGACGGGACTGCTATCTCGGGAGAGCGCAGGGAAAGGAAACTAGGCACGCAAGCGCTTGGAACGGCGACAAAGAGAGGGTGGTGCGAGCGTAGACATGGCCGACGCAGGTCGCACATTTACAAATCTTTGAGAAAACTTTATTGTCCACCAGAGAGTCTACTGATCTTGAAAATGGTGCCTATTGATAACTAATCTACTGAATAGATGATCTATTGCTACATTGCCGAAGCATCAAGGAAAGTGCAGGGAATGGTGTTCCACGTGCCGGCATCTGCAGCAGTAATTGTTCTAAAGCGAAAGCTTTAGAACAATTAGTGGCATCTTGCACGTGCGTTTGTCAATGCTTTATTTTAGTTATCTACTTTTATACGGGGAAAGCGAGCACGTGCCATGGTGTGAGCGTAGAGTTTTCTGTCGTGCACATGAAAAATCTGTGATACCCTAGCCATAAACAGCTTCACTGTAAAAGTTTATTACTCTAAAGTAATTAATGAATGAATCATACCAAACATTAATTTTCCCAAATGACATTAACTTTTTTTTTTGTTTTTTTTGTTTTTGTTTTGTGCGATGCATACTTTCTACTGGAACGATTTGACCAGCGTTTTGAGAAATGCCCTGTATCCTAGGGTAAAGTGAAGTACAGAGTTGTAACTATCTTCTATACCGTCTACTTTGAAGAGAAATTTCCACCTTTCTACACACTCGTATCTCCTTTGCATATATATATTTTCCTTCATTTATTTTTTGCTTGCCCCCTTTTTGCGATCATCCTCGGGCACCTTTTAAAAATTTTTTTAACCTTCTAAAAGTCTTACTCAAAATTGTGTGTGTAGCTATAGCTGACGCAGATATAGAAATGGATTGAGGTCCACCCACTTCTACCACTGTGTGGTAGTCAGCAGTCAAAATGACTCCCTCGGAATGCCCTTGCATTGAATTAGTTCCAGGTGTGTTCCTCGCTGCTTCTTGACCGGCCCCACCCAGAGCCACCCACCATATGCGAGGATCCGCTTGCCTTTTGTTGCACTCCCCGAAGCGCCCGCTGCCATAATTGATCATAGATGCAATGATTAGGGGGAGGACGAGTATGTAATTCAAAGAAATTGGAGTTTGGGCTGCATGCAGACAGCTCGATGCAGTGTGACGAAAGCAGCACTGGACACACAGGCCTAGTCTTATCTGTAGACAAGCACACTGTGCTACACCGTTGCCACAAACACAACGGCTTTTTTTTTTTTTTTCTTCATTTTATTTGGAAATGGTATTGGCGAGCATTAAATTTTTCTGTTAATGTTAGGACCCCGTACGAATACTTTCCACCACACTAGTAGTTTTGATGGCATGCCTTTTTTTTTTCTAGGGAAAAACTCGCAGAAGAGATTGGCCATCGCTAGTTCACGCTTAAAAATGCGTCAGAAGCTTCTCCAGCCACCGCTTCTCCGCAATGCACAAATGGTCCGCTTCAGAGGCGCACGTTACGCCGACATTGCATAACGCGTCGTGTCAGGCCAACCTCTTCTAACGGGTCTAGAAAGCGATTCGGTGCTGTGGCCGGTACAGGGTTGTTTATTTGGTACATTCTTAACATGTTTCCAACTATGGACAATTCCTGTAATAACCTTCTATGCACTGCCATATTTGTCTTGCTGCACCGAGGAATGTCTTCTGAGTATGTGCGGTAGCTCTCTTTTACGAAATATTAATGCATGCGTCCACGGCCCGGTGACTCAACATTTTTCGTGTGGGCGGTAACGCCGCATAAATGTGTAGGTAGCATTGCCTAGTGCCATCTTGGCAATGGCAGAGTTTAAGGGAATCTTCTCATTGCATATCTTCTTCTGTGGATCTCGTCGCGCCTCAGCGTGCCTCGATTAACTCTTGTCTCTCCTCTTCCCAGATCTACCTCTCCCTCAATGGACACGAACAGATGCCGGTAAGTGGGCTCTGCCCCGTACGTTGGACGGCATGGGGGGAAACGTGCGGGGGCTCAGTAGCTGGATCCCCCCGTTGCAGATCTGGGCTCCCCCGACTCCGCCCCAGGACGAGAACGACCTGTACATCGACTACAGCGTGGGGTTCCTGTACGAGCCCTCGGTTATGTCGGAGTCTAACCTGCCGGAGATCCACGTCAAGAAGGAGGCCAAGAGGCTCAAGGTGGACGCCCTCTCCACAGGTGGCTGCCCTTTGCTTCTTCTCTCTCGAGGGGTCCGGTCGTGGCACCGCGGTCCAACTCTTTCCTTCCCTTTGACTGTTATGTTGCTAGTTAAGCTGAGGAGGATGGTTTAAGCAAACTGTTTAATAAGCAGTTTGCTTATTAAACAGCTGCAGCCCAGCATCTGCTGGGCTGCAACAGATGCTACGAGCCATCCCAGCCAGCTTAACACTGCAAATGTATTGCTCGACCATGCACTTGTGCGTCGCTGGGCCCCACCCTAAGGTCATGTGACATTGTGCGGAATAGACCGGTTGACTCCTCCGCGGTCTATCGTAAGGTGAAGCTGGGTTTAGTCCCTCCAGATGTGGCTCACCCAAGGTCTGAGCTGTAAAGTAACTATCTCACGGTATAGTAGAAGCTGGTTGACAGTAATAAAGAAGTCTGTCGCTGGGGAATATGTTACAACCCTAAACCTTGGCCTATTGATAAGACGGGAAGTAATACTTGTGCAGCAATTTATTTTACGCAAACTTTCACAGCAATGGGAACTATCAGGTTTATTTAAATGGAGTCTGAAATTTTTTAAATAGTGGTATGCTTTATAATGAAAATTTGTCCATCCATTTGACCATGCGCACCCCATGGCAGGGCGTGTCGGCCCAACCAGTTTCGTTGTCGTTGGGTGCTGAGTCGTGCTATAATGTGATGTCACATGACCATGTCATACGACATCATCGTGTCACGCAACACAGTTACGACGCAATAGTGCCGCGAGACGTTTCGTGCCTTTTGAGCAAGTTTAAACAATCACTTTTTAAATACTGCCTTCCGTTCATTTTGAGACTTCAGAAACAAAAGTTGCTGTTAATTCTTTTTTTTTTTTTTTTTAGCTTCTAATTTAAATTAGGGGTCTATATATACTGTAAAGTCCTGAGAGAATGCCTGCCCCCAAGAGATCATTCATCCCATCTTTCTGGCTAAATATCTGTAACATAAAAATTCCTAAACATCGCCCACCCTCAATTCCCGTCGGACGTCACGTGATGTCCGCAGGTACAGTCTAATCTCGTTAATTCAAACTCGAGGGGGTCCAAAAATTTGTTTGAATAAAGCAGAGTTTGAATTACCGGGAGTTTCTTCTGATAGAAATGCATAGGATGGGACCAGCATGTTAGTTTGAATTATCCGGAAGTTTGAATTAAGAGAGTTTGAATTAACGAGATTCGACTGTATTGCATTCGCTGCGCCGTCGCCGTGCACCGCGCTGTACCGGTTCGTCTGATAAGCGAGTTCACAGTGGGTTCCCGCGTTTTGGTCTACTATCTCCGCGCGCAATATCTGCTCCTGTAACACGTGAGTTGTTCCTGCATATGCATTGCATCATGAAATGCGAATACTGCATCTGCGATATCCATTTCCGTGACATGAGAGTTTGTACCGAATTCTCGCGTTTTTGTCTGCGACCCGCGCACGTGATATCAATTCCCGTAACACGCAAGCTGGTCCTGCGTGTGTATTGCATCGTGAAATACGATTTTGCTGCATCCACGATCTGCGGTATTCGTTCCCGTGACATACGAGTTTGTGGCGGATTCCCGCGTTTTTGTCCACAATCTGCGCGTGCGATATGGGTTCCTGTGGCAGGCAAGTTTGTTGCGGGTTCTTGCATGTTTATTGCACCATAAAACTTGAATCTGCTGCGTCCGCGATTCACGGTATTCGTTCCCGTGAAATGCGAGTTCTCGGCACATTTCAGTGTGCCCTTCGCACGTTAAAACGCAAATCTGCTGCATCCGCAACCTGCGGTATCCTTTCCTGTGACACAAGAATTTGTCGTGAATTCTTCTGTGTTTATCGCATTGTGTAACACGAATTTGCAGTGTCCGCAATCTAGAGCATCAGTTACCGCATCACATGGTTTGTAGTGGGAAAATGCTTTGTAACCGAGAAAGTGAATGTAACAAAAAATTGATATTCATATCCATCTGTATAGGTATGCGCAGGCATTCATAAGCTAAACAGGTAATGAGGCATATAAACCGAGAGTGCATGAGCGATCGAGGTTGTACTGTACCTAAGTTACCTTAGTTAGCTATGGTTTCAGTGATTAAATACTTCCCAAGTTACAATAGAATTTCAATAACTCACTGTAGCATAGATATATTGTGAAGTAAGTTGGTAGAGAAATTGAGCATTATCAGGCATGTTCTGAAATGCTTGCCAAAATTGGAGGAAAAAAAATGAAGGTCCAGAAAAAGCCGTAAAGATAAATGCTGTGAACAACATAAGTGCTGTTTCTTTATAAACTAAACTTCTCATTGGATGGAGTGTTAGATTCTAACCTCACAGAGGTATGGTTGGTCCCTGTTTCTCTTTTAGATTTTTGCGAACTGTAGTCGAGGTAAAGGGGTGCTGTGGGGATTTAAGACTGTTCAAATGCTCCTTATGAAGCCCTTTGCAAAAGAGGGTCCCATGGCTGTATGGGGAACGGGAGATTTTTGGAAACAGTAGTTGGGGGAAAAGAGCTCAAGGGATTTGAGGTGGTTCAAATGCCTACTCCGACACACTACCTCGCATGCATGGGGGAGGGAGTGACCGCAACCCCTCTCCCCCCTCTCCCAGCGACAGCGTCCCGCAAGCAAAAGGCGCGCAAGGAAGACGCGGTGCACATCCCCAAGTCGCTGTTCGATCGTCCCACGGCGGCAATCCTCAAGATGCGCCGGGAGGCCAAGATGCAGAAGGTGAAGAACCTGATGGTGTCGGGCGGAGGGGGCATCCCCGGGGGCTCCACGGGGGGCCTGGCGGTGCCCAAGGCCCTGGTGGGGGGACCCCTGGCCGGGGTGCGGCCCCTCAACCCGGGGGCCTTCATGGCCGCACGACCCCTGGTGGACCTCTCCCAGGACACCCCAGAGTGGCTCATCCACGAGGACTGGGCAGCACTGCAGGTACGTCTGCACTCTTTAAAGGGGGTTTATCCTTGGCCCATTGAGCAGGGGTCTCAAACTTGCTTCCCACCGTAAAATACTGAGCACAGGCCCACCTTGGAACAAACAGCCACCTGCTACTTTTTAGATGTGTGGAAACTAAGCAGAGGACACACCAAGCGCCCACCCAAGACTTTTGAGACCCCGTATAGACGTTTGCAAGTACGGCCTCTGAGCGCTGCCACCTTGGTGCTGGTGGGGGTGGATCGTCTGATAGTGAAGCATTGCTGAGGCCCACCCACGGTTTCCAGACTGGCACCCAAACAAAATGTTTTCCATCCACAGTGGCCAGGCTAGTTGGGAAGTGCGGCTGCTTTCAAACCTCCATATTCTGTTTCACCTTACGATGAACAGGAGAGGATGTTAGGAGCCATCGAGCCCAATCCAATGCCGTGTAGGTGCCATGTGACCTTCAAAAGGGGCACAGTGGTGCGCATTGGGCATAGTCACGTGATACTTTCACAGCTCTGGTTTGGCTCGTAGTCCATTGTAAGGTGAGACGAAGTATAGCTAACCGTGATGCTCCTTTTTGTCAGCGCTCTCAGACCTAACAAGTGCCTATTCTTCTGTTTTTCGAGGTTATCTTCACATTTTGGGCGGGCACTCATTCGTGCTGTTTGCGGCAGGGACACAATGGTTTTCCATGCTCTCAAATTTTCTGGGCCGGACTTACCCTAAAATGGAGTATTTTGACCAGTTTAACCCTTTGCGGTCATGTGTCGGGCCACGCCCGACATCGAAGAAACGCGCTTCCGGTCCGGTGTCGGGCATTGCCCGACACTCGTTCCCGCGCCCTTTTAAACATGCTCCTTCGCTCTTTTTTGCTGGATTGGTGGCGCCATCTCTTGGAACGTTTATACACTTCACTTTTGAAAGGGTTTGAATTTTTTCTCATAGAGGGCAGTACTAATCCTAAACAGTCTAAACAACGGAGGAGCGTGCAAATTTCAACTTCGCTGCCACGAGGGATGGCTACGTTCCAGCCACGCTCATTTTATAGTAACTCTTCGCGTGATGTAGTTGAAAGTGACGACAATTTCAGTGAAGAGGACAACTATATCCCTCCGTCAGATGATGAAGAGACGTCCTCTGGTGATTTGAGCGAAAGTAGTGATGAAGATGAAACGACTGCTCAAGACAACAACCGCGGAGCCGCTCAGCCACAAGCATCGTCCTGGAGTTTGTACACAAACAATCTCCCGGACTTTCCTGTGCTAATCTTCAGTGTGAGTAATCCCGGATTACAAATTGGGCCCTCAGATCTTCAATCTGAGCTCCAGTTTTTTCAATTATTTTTTACGGATCAACTGATTGGAGAAATCGTTCACGAAACAAACCAGTATGCGTGCGAGAAGATTTCGTCTGCGGAACCTCTTGCAAAACATTCCATTTGGAAAAGCTGGGAGGACGTCACTGTCGATGAGTTCAAAGCATTTCTCGGAGTCCTTCTGAACATGGCTCTGAATCCCAAGCCAGATATCAAAGAGTACTTCAGTGAAGAAATTCTGAAGAAGATGCCTTTTTTTTCGACTGGTGTTCACCCGAACAAGATTTCTGCAAATTTTCTGGATGCTGCCTGTTTCTCCTCCTCCGCAAGGTCAATCAGGACAGCCGACACGTGGCAGCAAGGTGAGAAACGTTGTCAGCTACATTGATTCAAAGTGCAGAGAGCATTTCAAGCCCGGTCCGAAGATTTGCGTAGATGAGAGCACCGTGGGCTTTAAGGGGCGAGTCTCCTTCAAGTGTTACAACCCACAGAAGCCGACAAAGTGGGGCCTTCGGGTGTACGCACTCGCGGACTGCGGAACTGGGTATGTTTCTGCATTCGAGCCATACTACGGAGAGCCTCCCTCGGCCAGACCTTCCTTTCACTTGCTGAATCGTCCTTCACCTTCTCGACAAAGTGCAGTGTGCTTCACCTGGAAGGGGGTACCACCTGTACACAGATAGTCTTTATACGTCGCCAACACTCGCCGAGGAGTTGCTTTCGCAGGACGTCAAGCTGACGGGGACTGTGATGACCAACAGAAAAAATGTGCCGCAGCAGCTGAAGAAAAAGGTGAAGAAGGGTGACGTAGTTGCTTACCGACAAGGGAACTCGTTCATGGCCCTTGCTTGGCAAGATAAGCGCCAAGTAACTATGCTGAGCTCAGCTCACAACCCCTCGATGAAGGCTGTGACAAGAACTCAAGCTCATGGTCAAACTGTGACGCTCCAGAAGCCCATCGTCATTTGCGACTATACTGAAAACATGAGGGCAGTGGACCGAGCCGACCATTACTGCGCAAGCTATGCCTTCTCTCGGAAATCTCTCAAGTGGTGGAGGAAACTTTTTTTCTGGATGCTTGAAGTTTCCATTGTCAACAGCTACCTACTGATGAAAATGCAGATGGACTCAAAGGGACTGAAAGGGCAGAAACACCTGCAGTACCGTTGCAAGTTCATCGAGCAGCTTGTCGGGGACCTCCGAGTGCGACCTAAGAAAAGAGGTCCGGCATCCCAATCCGACTGTGAAGAGCGGCTAGATGGAAGGCAGCACTTTATCTACAAGCTGCCAGAACGCAGCAGCAAGGACTGCGCAGTGTGCAGTGACCGGAAAACTAAAGGGGGCAGGAGAGAGACAGTTTTCTTCTGCAACACCTGCAGCAAGCATCCCGGCCTCCACCCTGGAGAATGCTTCGAGAAGTATTACACACTGACGAAGTTCCGCTAGAAAACGTGAGAAAGCAGGAGCTCTGCAAAAATAAATATTTCATGTTACCTTTGTACGCCAAAATAATTTTATGTTTCCGTGGCCCGTGCATCCAAAATAGTTTCTGACTGGAACGACCATTAAGTTGGTCAGAGTATCTGACCGCAAAGGGTTAAACATCCTTTTAGAACCCTTTAGAGTTGCCCATTGATGCATAACCTTGAGCCGAACAGTCCCTAGTGTGTGTTATTGTTTATGATGTCTGCAGGCTTCCGCACCACATTATTGCACGAGTGCCGAGACCGGGACGAATTTCTCGGCCGTCCTTTGAGAAAGATAGGCGATCCTTGAGGTTAAAAAAATGAAAGCCGCTTACAACTTTCTGTAACGCCGAATTAGAGCGCAGCTCTTGAGGAGGAGGAGGGAAGGGCACTGGGGGGGGGGGTTAAACTAACCAGGGGGGGTCACGTGACCCCTAATGCCGATGATGTCATCACTGACGTCACTGATGACGTCATCAGTGACGATGACGATGCGGGTACCGATGACGTCATTAGTGACGTCACTGATGACTTCACCAGTGACGATGACGATGCGAATGTCGGTGACGTCGCTGATGACGTCATCAGCATAGGTCGGCATTTCCGAACCCACTCACTCACCATCACATCACTAATTACAGCAACATCCAAAAGTCACAGCCCTTCACATCACAAAGTACATCGACGTCCAAAAGTCACAGCCTTTCACATCACAGAGTACACCGACGTCTAAAAGTCACGGCCTTTCACATCACAAAGTACACCGACGTCCAAACGTCACAGCCCTTCACATCACAGAGTACACCGATGTCAAATATTCACGGCCCTTCACATCACAAAGTACACCGACGTCCAAAAGTCACGGCCATTCACATCACGGAGTTCAACCGGACAACAAACTCATCCCCATCACGTCACCTCAATCTCTGAACTCACAAAGTCATTCACCGTCACTTCACGAATCCGTCAAGTTCACGAAGTACTTCACCGTCACATCACGAATCCTATAGAGTTCATGAAGCATTCCCCATCCCATCACCGCCAGCTCTGAATTCCCAAAGTCGCTCACCGTCACATCACGAATCCGACAGAGTTCATGAAGCATTCCCCATCCCATCACCGCCAACTCTGAATTCACGAAGTCGCTCACCGTCCCATCACGAGCTCATCGAGTTCAGCAAGTCGTTCCCCTCACGTCCGTGAACTGATCCCGTTCATGAAGTCGTTCGACCGGTTCGACTTCACGGCCCTTCACCGAGTCACAGTCATTCACCGAGTCACAGCCATTCACCGAGTCACCGAGGTCACGGAAAGCGGCGTCGGCCCCTGCAGCCGCGGCCACCGCCACTGCCTCCGGCTCTCAGCCATCCTCGAAGTTCTTTCGCAGCGGCGCTGACGGCTCCAGATGTGTGTGTGTGTGTGTGTGTGTGGGGGGGGGGGGGGGGGGGGGGGTATTGGGCTGGGCCTGGCGACGCACCCTGCACTTGTCATTTTCTTTGTTTAGCTTGTTCCCTCTGGTTTTAGTTTTGTTGTCCCGTTTCTTTTATTTTCGTTTTGTTTCGCGCTTTCTTCATCGAGCGCGCATGCTGTGGAGAGCGAGCGGCTTCTTGACTTCCCTGCTCCGAACTTGTGAGATAAGGTGCTTGTTTCCGGGAGAGTTATTAGCCCCACGGATGCCCAGAACCAAAATGGCTGCTGGTTTGTGGGCGAGCGGTATTACAAAGGGTGGCATCACTCTAGCAAAGCGCACATGAAGGCTCCCTAGACTTCGCCTGGTTGTCGGCGTTGTGATTGTGGAGGGGACCCCACCTCAAAACCTTCTGGCCTGTCCTTTTTTTCTTCTCTTTTTCTTTTTTACCTTTTGTTGCGCACGGTTTTTTCTACGAAAAAAAAAGAAGGCGCTTATATTTTTGCCAACGACCGCTCACCGAGGGGGCAAAAAGGAGAGACAGACACGAACCTGCGTGCACGATTTTTGTGAAACATCTTACAAACATTAATACGAGTCCATATTATATGAACGAAGACGTTTTAGCGCATTAGAGTTTAGCGAATAGAGATCACATACGCGAGTCGACGTTTAGGCATTTGTAGGGGCGGCAAACTGGGCATCCAAACAGACCGCACCAGGCGGTCTGTTCAGAACGATAGCAAGGGGTGCTTCGCTATAGTTTGGGGAAAATAATATGAACTCAAGTTCGAGCGTCCATCGCCAAAGGTTCGGCAAG